GGCAACTCCACAGATTCTCTCAGTTCTCGGATCTGATCTGACAGCCCACCCACAGCCGAATAGCTTACGTTCCCAGGCTCTTCATGAAGCATATTATACACAACTGGATCAACCTGACAGACATCAAAAACCAATCTTGTCAAGATAAGAATATATAGAATTAATTCCATGCTAACCTTCTAAACCAAAATATCAATGTATTCCATCAAATTGTTGTGTACCTCACGAGGGAGCGCTCGCATAATTGTAAGAAATGTCATATCAAGAACTATTCTCGTGCCAGCTGTAAGTTTCTCTTTGTCTACTTTACTGTGGCATCCAACCACATATCTTGGACCTTTGCCGGCTTTGACTATCACTGAAAAACATATACGAAGTCCATGTAAAAATTTATGCATCTTTTCTCCTCCAAGCTTATGAAGAACAGGAGAACAAAATGACCAAGAGTACTGAGAAATGTTCAGACAAGGCAAAATAAATTATTGAACAATCAACTTTCAGAATAAATACTCAAATCTAAGGATAATGGTTACAAGAAATAGATTGAAGAATTCTTACAGCGCTCGTTGTCCAGAGGCCTGAGAACTTCGCCTATGATTTGTCCAACACTCTGAAGTGACTTTAAATCATCTTCTGTTTTAGCATATTCCTTCTTTGTAGCTCTTAAATTCTCTCTAACCATAGCATTTATACAGTGTCATAAGGCAGAGCTATAATATATAAAATATACAAAGGCAAAGGCAAAGATATAGTTAAAGTGATGGAACTAAGATGCTGAAAAGCTAGTCCAAATTCTAATCTGTAGTGATTGAAAGATCATACCAAAATGATCAAACAAAGAAAATAGCAGAACTCACAATAATCTAAATATGCATGAAAATGAAGCACGTGGATTTTTTGAACTCAAGAACTACTTGAATATGTAATTTAGTACATATTGTCCCGTAGTTCTCACACTTATGATATAGTAACTAATCCACATAAATAGTCCATAATTCAGTGATATTTTCAGACATATGTACTCTTCTTCACACGATCATAACAGAGCCTAAGATCTCATTAGACAGCCCATACAAATTCAGCTCAGTTTCAGACACGTATCAATGGTATACTGGCGTTGTTTATTTGCGGTCATTTATGAAGCCAAAAGCTTGGAAAGCGAATAGCAGCTAGCAAAACAGGTATCCAAAAGTCAAGCATATATGATTGGCAAAACATAATGTCCTTTATTAAAATTAACATCTCTCATTATTTTACAGAAAAGAAATAACTGCTACATAATCTTTGGTGGAGTAAAATTAAATGATAGAATTTACTAAGGTAAGATTCATAAAAGTCATAATTCTGTTAACAAGTTATATAGGATTCTCTTTCAAGATGAATATTACATTTATAGTTAACTAATGTTGATACCACAAGATGACTTCCTCTCATCTTGTAGCTGAAATGAATATTTTTCCTTTGGAATTGGCTAATCTAATGTATATATGATTAAACATCAAATATACCTGATAAATGCAAAATATAGCACCATCGAATGAACTGAATGCCATACAACAAAAGAATAAATTTCATGAAAAATATTTTTTATGCTTTATTATAAATTTCATAGAATTTTGCCATCGAATGGAGGAGAAAATTATTGCTTAAATGAAGGAATCACCCAACTGTCATATTTGGCTATAGCATATAAGTAGGAATAGACACAAACGTTGGGCAAAGAGGAGAATACTGTAGAAGCACCAACTTTCGCTACAAATATAGATGCATTTTTAGCATGTGGACCATGATAGAATCGAAAGAGAAGATTTGTGACATAAGTGTAATACTTCTCTATCCCTCGAATATTTTGCTTTTCGTTTAGGTTTTCTGTAACTGATTATTGATGGTTAGAAGAGAATTAATGTTGCTTTGCAGATTAATTTTTGATTCATTATTAACTCTAGTTAATATGAATCCTTGTAAATTACTTGCAATTTAGTAATTAATTCTCTAAATACTTATATCTAATATACACAAGAAAAATTATCTTTTTGAGAAATTAATGTTATGTTGGAAAGCGGGTAGAAGTACTTGTTACATAACTATAATAGTGAATTCCCAAAGCTTTGGTTATTAAATAAATTTTGATATCTAATTATACCATTCCCAATCACCATAAAGCTCTCATTATCGTAACTCTTTGTTATTCTCTTGATTTCTTTCCTGTGATTGACATCGGACTTCCGAGAATTATTACTTCAAACGATCTACAATTGGATTGCAACGACAATTTCCTATAATTTCTTTCTTGGTAAGTTCTCACGATTATCGTGCGTAGTGATAGAAAAAATAAATATAAATATTATACCATCCAATGGTGATAGTAATGGAAACATCAATGCGCAACCATAAAATTTAAGGGTTTTAATATGAATGAATGTCATACTTCATATTCTGCAAAATGTTAATTTGAGGGAACTCATTCCAAACATAAGACTGCATCAATTTAAATGCGTTGATGTGAGATCTTGGGGAAGATCAACATGTTATCTAGAACCAACAAGGCTTAAGGCTGAATCAACAATCCTAGTACGTTCAAACACATACAATCACCAATGTCAAATGCAGCAAACTACTTCCGCATAGCTGACGTAGTGGAAGATTATAGGGAGGATGAACAATCACAAAATGAGAAAACTCTCAAAGAAAATTTTATTGAATTCAATAACTGCCGCCTCAAAGGGCTTACAACGCCTTAAATAGAAAAAAAAAACTAGTAAAATTCGGAAAATAGAATAAAATGATATTTTTCCAAAAATAGAAAAATATGAGATAAGTACTAAGATGGAAAATCCTTATCTCCAGAATCATCCTCCAACAAACGGAATATAAATCCGAATTTTATGGAAAAAGATATTGCAAAAACAAAAATTATCATAAATAGCAAAAACGCCTAAACGATGGAGTTTGCCCAAAATTGGCCTTGCGTCAGGGCCGAAGGCTCTAAGTTTTATTCATTGGCTTGATTCCGATCGAATTAGACTAGCAATTCGAAAAACGAACCAACCCGAAGTTATCATGAAATCAAAAAAATATTATTTTGCCTTGTGACGGTCTCATTTCATCATAAACTCTAATCCCTTATACGCTTCATCATTCTCCCCAAGGTGGGAGAAATTCACCCTTGAATTTGACGAGAAAGAAGCTTCATCATCATCAGAATTATCACCACAAAATGGAACCAAATGCTTGATATTGAACACATCAGATGTACAAATATGGCTAGGTAGCTTCAAACGATAAGCATTCGGATTGATCTTCTCAATGACCTCAAATGGACCAATCTTCTTCGCAGTAAGCTTGTTGTATTCATGAGCAGGAACACGATCCTTTGTTAACACCGCCCAAACAAAGTCACCTACCTCAAATTCAACATGTCGATGTTTAAGATCCGCAGCACGCTTATACTCAGTGACAGCAGCCTGCAACTGATCATGAGCCTGTGAATGAACCTGCTGTAATTGCTGAATAAAGTCTTTGGCCTTACCATGCATTTTAACAGAAGTAGAAACTGGAACCAGATCAAGAGGACCACGAGGAACAAGGCCATACACCACATGGAACGGACTAAAACCTATACTTCGGTTAACAGCATGATTGTGACCAAATTCTGCTTGACACAACTTCTGATCCCACGACTTGATGTGATCACTAACCAGGCAATGTAATAAATCACCCAAGGAACGGTTAACAACCTCTGTTTGACCATCTGTCTGAGGGTGATATGCAGTGCTGAAGTCCAACCGTGTATTCACTGATCGCCATAAGCTGCGCCAGAAGTGGCTGAGGAAACGAGTATCCCGATCAGACATAATAGATGTAGGTAGTCCATGCAGGCGATAAACCTCGCGAAAATACAGTAAGGCCACATTGACAGCATCTGTAGTCTTCTTGTTGGGGATAAAATGTACCATCTTTGAAAATCGATCAACCACTATGAAGATCGAATCAAACCCACGTTGAGTCCGGGGGAGTCCTACAACGAAATCCATGCTCACGTCTGTCCAAGGCTGGGTTGGAATAGGCAGGGGCATATACAGGCCGGCATTTGTCACCTTGCCCCTGGCCAAGTGGCAAACTCGACAACGCTTCACAAACTTGCCAACATCTTTGCGTAATGATGGCCAAAAGTAAGAAGCAGCAACAAGCTGCAATGTTCGGTCACGACCCACATGGCCCTCATTATGCAACTCTTGAATGATCTTCAACCTCAAGCTGCCCTCTGGAATACACAACTGATTGCCATGAAAAATAAAACCATCAACCCATGCAAACTCCAACTGCACACCTTCCTGCAACTTCTGAATAACATGGGAAAAGTATGGGTCAGTAGCATATAAATCAGACAAACTGTCAAAACTTGGAACCTCCACTCGCATTTCTGTAAGGAGAGTTTGGTGCCTACTCAATGCATCTGCAATTTTGTTAAGGGCACCTGTCTTGTGCTTGATCACAAAGGTGAACTACTGTAAGTAAGCAATTCAAGAGGCATGTCGAGCAGACACCTTATCCTGAGTACCAAGGTGTCTAAGGGCATCATGATTCGTATACAAAATGAACTCCTTATGGAACAAATAGTGACGCCAATGTCGAACGGCCTAGACTATTGCATAGAACTCCACATCATAAGTACTATACCGAGACTTCAGGCCAGAAAGCTTCTCACTGAAATATGCAACAGGGCGGTTGTTCTGACTCAGCACACCACCAATACCCACTTTTGAAGCATCACAATGTAGCTCAAATGGTTGGGTAAAGTCAGGCAACACCAAAATTAGAGTAGTAGTCAACTTCTACTTAATCAATTGGAAAGACGACTCTGCCTCGTGAGTCCACTAGAACCTACCATCCTTCATGCAATCTGTAATGGTTGCCATGATGCTACTAAAATGTGGTATGAACCTGCGATAGAAGGAAGCAAGGCCATGAAAACTCCGCACCTCAGTGACAGTCTTGGGCTATGGCCACTGACTTATTGCCTCTACTTTAGATGTATCAACTGCTAACCCCGCCTTTGACACCACATAACCCAGGAACACCACACTATCAGTAAGAAATGAACACTTCTTCACTGCAGCATAGAATTTATCCCTGTGAAGAATTGAAAGAACTTCCTGAAGGTGCTAGACATGATCATCATCGTTAGCACTATAAATTAAAATATCATCAAAGTAGACCACAACAAATTTACCGATGAATGGGCGAAGAGCCCGATTCATAACCCGCATGAACGTACTGGGTGCATTTGAGAGGCCGAAGGGCATGATTAACCACTCGTACAATCCTTCCCTCGTCTTAATTGCGATTTTCCACTCATCCCCATGTCTGATCCGAATCTGATGGTACCTACTCTTCAAATCAAGCTTGCTAAACACACAAGCACCGGTAAGCTGGTCCAACAAATCATCTAGGCGGGGAATAGGAAAGCGGTAACGCACTGTAATCTTATTGATCGCCCTACTATCCATGCACATTTTGCCACGTGCCATCCTTCTTCGGCGTGAGAAGAGCAAGAACAGCACAAGGACTAAGACTCTCCCCGATGTGTCCTTTTGCTAGAAGCTCCTCAATTTGCCTACGCAACTCCTCATGCTCAGTGGGGCTCATTCTGTAATGCGCTCGGATAGGCAGGGCAGCACCAGGCACCAAGTCAATCTGATGCTGAATATCCCGCAGTGGTGGTAATCCATCTGGAAGCTCTTCTGGAAAAACTTCATGAAACTCCTACAGCAATGGCTGAACTGCGAGAGGGACTTCATGCTCACTGTCAATCAACTTTCCCACCAGCACATACACTACCCCAGACTCCTCCATCTCTGTCTCGAACTTCTTTTTGGTCAGTAAGTCGGCGTTGTTCCCAACTGTTTGTATTAAACCCTTATTCAGTATTAACACAATTTTCTTTTCCCCAAACAGAAAGCTGTACGTGTTAGTATATCCATCATGCAGTGAGTGCCTCTCAAACGGCCACAACCTCCCTAACAGTAAATGACACGCATCCATCTCCACTACATCACATAAAACCTGATCCTTGTAGGTAGGTCCAATTGAGAAGCTGATTCGAGCACGTTGAGACACTTCTACATCGTTGCCCTTCTTCAGCCAGGCTAATTTGTACGGTTTGGGATGTTTCTCAGTCTGCAAACCCAACTTCTTAACGACCTCCTCAACCACCACATTCTCGCAACTACCAGAATCAATAACAAATTTACATACCTTCCTTCCAACAGTACATGTCGATTGAAAGATATTGTTACGCAACCAATCAGTGTTATTCTCCAAGGGAGTCAGGAAACTCCTCCTCACCACCAGTGCCTGACCCACATCACCAACCACAAACTCTTCCTCTTCTGTTGCTTCTTCTACGCCTTCACCGTCAAATACAGGCGGACCTTCATAATCGTCATTCCCCTCATCAACAAAGAGTCCCCTACGTGGATTTTTGGGGCACTCAGACTGCCTATGGCCTGTAACTCCACATCCAAACAACGAATACCAACCTCAGGACGTGTTGGTTGTTGGACATGATTTGTTCTAGGAGGACCAGATTGAGCAAGATTACCAGGACGTGTCACCTGCTATTGTGGGTTACTAGAAGAACTCCCTGCAATGAAAGGACTAATAGTTTTCCTGGATTGTTGCTTCTCTATCTGTATTGCCCTCTGATGTGCTTCAGAAACTGTCACAGGATCAAAAATATTGAGAGTATCCTGTATTTGGGGACAAAGACCACCCACGTATCGTGACACCAACTGCTCCTCCGTCTCCATCATCTCGTTCCTTGTAACCAACATATAAAAATTCGTGGTATAATCACTAACCGTTTTCTCACCTTGACGCAGATTCTGCAGTTGTTGGTACATGGTCCGCACATAGTTATAAGACAGAAACTGTTTCTTCATATGTTTCTTCAATTTGTCCCACGATGCAAGCTTGGGTTTCCCTATCCTGGATCTCGTCACTTTAGTCTGCTGTCACCACGCTACTACTCGTCCATGAAGTCTCGTCGCAACGAGAGGCACACATTTATCGACAGGAACCTCTTTAAACTCCAAGATCTCCTCCACTGTAGTCACCTAATCCAAGAATTCCTCTGGACTCAACCTACCATGAAATTCTGGAATATCAACCTTAAATCCTGATTCCCAACGTCGGTTGTCCTCCTGACCACCCCTTCTCCTGTGAACTGGCAGATCCAATGGTTGTTCAAGCGGTGCAAACGTATTCTCATCATCGGAATCCTCAAACTGTTGGGTTGCAGGCGCAGGCTGCTGCGGCATAAACGCATCGATCTCTTGCTGATGTAGCTGTGCGATTTCATCACGTCTATGTACCTCCTCTACCGGGGCATCACGGGCTTCAGGACGTCTCCTTGGCGGCATGGTGAAGGAACCATTTCGACTCTGATACCAACTAACGTAGTGAAAGATTATAGGGAAGATGAACAATCACAAAATGAGAAAACTCTCAAAGAAAATTTTATTGAATTCAACAACTGCCGCCTCAAAGGGCTTACAACGCCTTAAATAGAAAAAAAACCTAGCAAAATTCGAAAAATAGAATAAAATGATATTTTTTCAAAAATAGAAAAATATGAGATAACTACTAAGATGGAAAATCCTTATCTTCAGGATTATCCTCCAACAAACGGAATATAAATCCGAATTTTATGGAAAAAGATATTGCAAAAACAAAAATTACCATAAATAACAAAAATGCCTAAACGAGGGCCTAAGCGATGGAGTTTGCCCAAAATTGGCCTTGCATCAGGGCCAAAGGCTCTAAGTTTTATTCATTGGCTTGATTCCGATCAAATTAGACTAACAATTCGAAAAACGAACCAACCCGAAGTTATCATAAAATCAAAAAAAATTATTTTGCCTTGTGACGGTCCCATTTCATTATAAATTTTAATCCCTTATACACTTCATCAATAGCTCTGTTTTGTTATGAAACTATTGCATGATAACCGCAAGTTGACATTCAGGTAACAAAACTTACTCCCACAAACCTAGCACTACAATCACCCCAGTGATGAGGAAATTTTAATGCTAATAATGCAATCTCCCAGTTAGAACTAATACCCCTCGCACCAATTGTCTCCCTTGACCCAAACTCAAATGGAATAAATCAGTCCAAAATGATAATCACACTCCAACAAGGACAAAACAATTCACAATCTGAATTATAATGAAAATCAAAATTAGATTCTTCAAATTTCAGACTTCATATTTAATATTAATAGATAATTAATCAAATTAACCCCTAATTTAGCCTAGCTCCAACAAATTCTTAAATATCAAAATTAATTAGCATTGATACTGCTGCCAATCTTTTCATATAAACCATGTTACATCATAAAAATGTTAAAAAAAATAAAAATAAAAATAAAAAATCCCTTTTAATCTACAGACCTTGTCATATCCTTTTTTGAAACTTAATTGAAGTTTAATGATCCAATTGAGATAAACTAAAACATAGTGACCCAATTAAGATTTCTCAGAAAGTTCAGTGACTATGGATGAAATTTTCCAAATAATAGAATATATATATATATATATATATATATATATATATATATATATAGCCAGGAGGGCAGGAGATGGAAATGATCATTAAACCACCCTCTTCTTCCAATCTCCGCCTACCGCCACCACATTCCTCTCAACCATGGCGGCTATCCTCCTGGTTCTTTTTATTTCTGTCCCAAATTTTGCCAGTGCTGTAAAATCTAATTCATTCACCCCACAAGATAGCATACTTGTTGATTTTGGTGCACCAACTCCACCACCCTCCCCGGCCAAAGGGTGATCTTGAATGATCAAGAAACTAGCAAATATTTAGCCTATGAAGGACTAGATGTTAAGGTTTCTATCAAGTCTGCTGATGTTCCTTCACCGGTTTATCTGTCTGCTAAAATATTTGAATCAATAGCAACATACACTTTTACATGTTATACCAGGCCAGGTTGGCATTGGATTCGACTCTACTTTTTTCCAGTCGAGAACAGCGAGAAGGATTTGAAGAACGCAAAATCTTAGTCAAGACGAATGATTTGGTACTAATCCATGAATTTGAAAACACTGGAAACACAAGCTGGTTTATGAGGAAGTACCTTGTCAATGCGACAACAGAGAGGTATTCTGTAGTATTCCAACCCAGTGCAGACAGTGTGGCTTATGTTAATGGAATAGAATTTGTTTCAGCTCCGTTATCCTTATTGGCGATGTTGGGTCGATGCTTTTCCCCAAGGGAGAGCACCGCGGGCTAGGCCGCAATGCTTACAGACCAAGTATAGGCTGAACATGGGAGGCAATGCTATAACCCCACAACATGATACCCTAGGAAGAACCTGGGAATCTGATCATTCATATATTGATCCAAGTGTTACTGCCTCGAATGCTTCTGTCTCACCGAGTATTATTACATATCCCGAGGGGGGAGTCTCCGTTTATTGCTCCACCGGTGGTTTATGCATCTGCCACTCAAATGGCGGATGCCAATGTTCTAGTACCTAATTTCAATATTACTTGGAGAATGAACATTAACACTTCATTCACGTATCTGGTTCGTTTGCATTTCGCTGATATCGAGAGTATTGACGTTTCTTTGTCACTTTTGCTGTCACAATTTGTGGTATCCTTATGTATTAAAATCAGTCTATGTAATGTTTATTTTTGATGACTAATATGTCAATCATAGCATGGTGTATCCTGTCAACAAGTAAGGCTGAAGTAGGTAGAAGTTGTTGACTAAAAGTATGGCTGAAAACCTTTTGTAATACATATATACTACCAGCCGGGTAGTATGAAAATTGTATCAGAAAATTTGTTATTTTATGATTATCATCTTCTTCCTCTTTGTATTATAAAATATCATTAGAGAGCAAATCTGTGAATGATCTCTATTTCAATGTATTCATCAATGGAAAGCCTGCGATTACCAGGCTGGACATGACCACTGTGGCAGATGTCTTGATAGCAGCTTATTATACGGATTTTGTGATGAATTCTTCTATGGTAGATAATGCCAACACAATAACTGTTCAGGTTGGACCGATGAACGAAAATACTGGTACAAGAAATGCACTTCTCAATGGTCTTGAGGTTTTCAGAATGAACAATTCTGTTGGTAGCCTGGATGGAGAATATGGTGTTGATTGGATATTGGCTGATGGGCCAGGCCGGGGTACGGTAGCTGCTGCTGGATATGCAATGATGTTTGGAGCATTTGTCAGTTTAGGTGCAATGGCTGTTAAGTGGAAGAAAAGACCACAAGATTTGCAGCAGAATCATTGCTTTTTGTCTTGGTTACTTCGACTTCACGCTGGAGACGCGAGCTTTACGTCAAACAGCAAGACTTCTCTAGGTTCTCGTAAAAGCCAATTTTTCTCCTCTACTTCAGGATTAGGCCGATACTTTTATTTAGCAGAGTTGCAGGAGGCAACCAAGAACTGGGATCCAAATGCAATAATTGGTGTTGATGGCTTTGGCAATGTCTATATAGGAGAAATTCATGATGGAATGAAGGTGGCCATTAAACGAGGCAATCCACAGTCTGAGCAAGGTATTAATGAGTTCCAGACGGATATTCAGATGTTGTCCAAGCTTAGACATCGCCATTTGGTATCGTTGATTGGATATTGTGATCAAAACTTAGAGATGATACTGGTTTAGAAGTACATGTCCAATGGACCTTTTCGTGACCATATTTATGGGAAGGATTTGCCACCCCTATCTTGGAAGCAAAGGCTTGAAATATGTACCGGGCCTGCTCGCGGGCTTCATTACCTGCATAGTGGCACAGCTCAAGGCATCATTCATGGCGTTGTCAAGACCACCAATATCTTGTTGGACGAAGATTTCACAGGAAAGATGGTGCAACAGGTGACGAGCAAAATCACGTGAGCATGGCTGTTAAAGGAAGCTTCGGGTACCTCAACCCCGAGTACTTCAAGAAACAACAGCTCAAAAATAAGTCTTAGGTGTACTCATTTGGAGTCTGTTGGAGAAAATTCACCGGATTGGAGTAGAAATCACTAAATATGAACTGAAAACGCCAATAACAAGATAATCACAAACTTGTATCAATGAATGACTTGAACACGATATCGTTGTCCTCAAACGATATTTGCCCCTTCTTCTATGAATTTGAGATGCTTCGAAGGTTGTTGGCAAATGGTTTGTAGGATTATAACAAGCCTTGCAAGGATTTAAACACCAAAGCACAAGTGCAATTCCTAGAAAACTTGAAGAACACAACGAATGAATATGAATATGGCTTTTAAAGACTTTGATCTTTGATTTTAGAAGTAATATGGAACCTTGATGTTTTTGTAATGTGTTTGCCTTCAATATGGATCCAATATATATAGGCGTACATCACATTCACGAAATGGTACCAAACTTTATGTCAAAAGTCACCAAATTTGAATTTAAAACGGGAGAAAACGGCCTCCAACAATCAAATAATTGTACCATGCGACGGTTTGCCCATGCCGAGACCAAGGTCTCGGCATAAGGCTATAGCCATGCGGTCACATGGACCATTTTTTTTTTTATTAATATTGTTGTTGTTGATTTTGAACAACATTATTACAGCATTCCCCCACTTGTTCAAAATTAACAAGTCTCATATTCATAATATATGATACTTATGCATAAGGATTAGATATCTTTCGATTTGAATCTAACCATAGTGTAATTCAAACAAAGTATAGCCGGAATCAAAGGTAGCGTGTAGCTTTGAACCAGTTATTCCATATGACAATATAGGTAAGAACACACACACGAGTACCACGTGTTCTCAAGTTCCTCATAACTCGCTTAGCGCTTTTATAGCCTTGCGCTTATCTTTTTTAACAATCTTTTAAGAGAGAAACTCCAATTCTCTATTAAAGCGG